CCCTTGCTGATGAGGAGAATCATTCCCAAGGCCAAGAAGTCTAGCATACCCCTGGTATATCATGACACTAAGGAAACAATGAAAGGCAGCCATAAAGGAAAAGTACCTTCTATAATCTACAGGACAGCACACATTTTAGTGCTTTCTAATTAAAATAATTTAAAACCAACTCAGCTAGCACTTAGCATGATATTTTGACTCTGGAATTGTAAACACTAATTCATTTTTAGCTGATAAGTAATAACTAAATATATCTTGCAGTAAATTGATAATAACATGTTGCTTTACAAATACACACCACATATTCTAGACAGTGTTTATGCTACTTATATAGGCCACACCTCTCTTGTCAGATGTTTTGTTCAGCTGTTGTACAGAAAGGAATTCAGGTTGCATAATTACAGCTGGTATTTTGTTTCATTAGTCAATACAGAACAAATTTTTCTACATCTGTGTGTAATTATTTTTCTTCCTCTTGAAGTTGTAGGAATCTGAATTTCTTATCCACAGATCAAAGTAACCCAACCCTTGGTTAATTAAATATTACCTAAGTTTCTCTTTACCACTGTAAATTGCACTGCGCTGAAGAAAGTGACTTGCATCTTGAATGTTACATTGTGATTAATAATGCAAATGTACTACTTGATTCTCCTTAAGACACTGCAAAAGACATCACTTTGATGATTATATTTTTTAATTAACATTTCTATATTTATGAGCTATAAAGAAAAGAGGAGAAGGGAAAGAAAGGGAAGTTTCCCTAAACACAGCTAACATTGAAGAATTACACGGTTTTAGCAGACTTTGACAGTCAGAGTGTTTAGCACTCTTAGACAGTCAGTCCTGTCCAGAATATCAGCGGATATGGAGTCTTTCTTCCCATCTAAGTCAGGGGATCTTGTATCTATGTTTTTGTTAAGCATACATACATGAAGGGCTTTAAGCTCCAGCTTTCAAAAATGACTGATGATTTTAAGTATTTCCTTGTTCAGATGACATGCTAGTGTTCAACTGCCTCCACCTCCATTCTTTCTCTGTAAAACTGGAGGTGTCAGTAATTTATGTTTGTACTCTAGTAACACTTAAGAATCTCCATCAAAAGTTAGAACCATGCTGTTCAAAGGGTCTTAAGGAATGGTTTGGTGTATATCCTCCAAAGAAAGTTGCTATTCTTCAGTCATATACTGCTGAAACCGGGTGTTAAGGACATGCTTCTTCAGCTAGTTTAAGGAGGCCAAACAGCACTAAAGAGCAGTCTGCAGGCAGTCTTGATTGGCTTGATAGGAATGAGAGAGGTTGGGCTCCTCAGTGATTTCATTTCTCTGAAATGAGAAAAGAATTGGTTACTGAGCTGATAGTGCTAAGGATGGGATAACAAGAAGTAGTTAGATCTCGCTGTACTCTAGGCACAAGTTCAGCTATGCACAGGCTGAGCTGGGACAGTGTCTTTTGGGTTTGTGACACCACTCTACCCAACTCTTTTCATCAGCAGCCTCATCCTGATCTATGGTCCTGCTCAGAGGCTGTGGCAACAGGTCCCCTCTTCTGCAGGCTCTGATTTCCAGCTGCAATGGTATCGTCCAAGCTGTACTGATGACCAAGTGATAAGCTGTGCCCCTGAGCCCTGCCACTACTACCCAGAGATTTTACTGCAGATGTAACACAGCAAGGTTATGTCCCCAGACTGCCCACTTTGCTACCTGAAACAAAAGCTCTCAAAACCAGAAGTGGTTTAGAGAGGAGATATTGCTTTATTCAATGCTGAGTGCTAGGTGGACATCCACAAATCTAGCACACCTTACCATGGACATTCATCCATTATTCATACATAAAAGATTCTCATTATTCCACTTACCTGATACGTAACTCCATCTAGGCTTATATATTCATTAGGATGACCAAATAGCCCTTTTGCACATGCATATTAAATTTTGCAATGTTTACAAAACACTTCTGCACAGGCTTGAGTTCCTCGGTGGTTGCTTGGGGAAGAATACCCTTCCTCACATTATCCTTTTAAGGAATGAGTCGTTTCAGGACAGTAAAAGTTTACCATAAACTTGCCGGCTTCTTTAAGATGATAAGGATGTTCGTTGAAGTAGCCACAGCTGTGTCCTAATTGGTATAGGACTACATACTTTGACATATGAAAGAACCTTGAATTGATTAACTACTTCTTGTTATCCCATCCTTATCACTATCAGCTCAGTAACCAATTCTTTTCTCGAGTAAGAAGCTCGGTAATTAACTCATTTTAGTTAGCATATGGTTACAAACATAGCAGAGTCCTGCCTCTAGTAACAACTTCAGCCCCAAGACGAAGAGAAAAGCATGTCAAAAGTGGTCAGTTTTTCCCTGCTTTGCTACATTCTGCGGTAATCAAGGGTAGGTAGGCCATTCCCATTGGTACGGCTGAGGGACCACAGAGCACTGCTGCACAGCCCACGTTTGGTTCATGGGCTGCTAGTTGAAGAAATCTGTCTGACAGCATAATATATAGGTAACTGTTATGTGAACAAAGAAGCCAGATGACAACAACAATGGGGAATTAATACTGCTCAAATTCTTACAGAGTCACAGAATCATTTAGATTGGAAAAGACCTTTAAGATCCAGTCACATCCAGCAGAATGCAAGTTTCACAATTTTCAGCAATTCTTTACCAATTTGAGCTCATTTTAAATCAAAGTAATTGTGAGGGCATACTGGATTGCAGGATTAGCCTTTGAAGTACACAGCCATAGGCAAATACACAAGAAGTGCTCTGCTAACCTTCAAACACTGATTCGCTAGGTCTGCAATTACTATTGCGATCACAGTTAACCTGGCAAAGCCACAAGCTGGATCCATACTGTGAAATAAACTTTCATTACTGAAACAGGGCTGTACTAGTGGCTGAGTAGTTTCACCTATGTGCTAGAAATTTGTAAAGAGCTATCAGCCAGGGATCACTTTCCCTCATGTTGTTATTCATAATGCAGCACTGATTTGTCTTTGCTGTTAACATAGCACAAAGCACATTATGTGCCCTAAAGATCTTTTTGGCCAGAGTTTTAAAACAGAGTTGGGAGGTATCCCAACTTGAGGGCCAACTGTGTTGTATTGTCCTGTGTAAATGTCTTATATGTCTTAGATGTCTCAGTGACCCACTTGGTGGATAAGGGAAAGGCTGTGGATGTTGTTTACCTGGACTTTAGCAAGGCCTTTGATACAGTCTCCCACAGTATCCTCCTGGAGAAACTGGCTGCCCATGGCTTGGATGGGAATACTCCCTGCTGGGTAAAAAACTGGCTGGAGGGCCAGGCCCAGAGAGTGGTGGTGAATGGAGTTAAATCCAGCTGGCGGCCGGTCATGTGTGGTGTCCCACAGGGCTTACTCAGTATTGGGGTCAGTTCTCTTTAACATCTCTATCAACAATCTGGACTAGGGGATTGAGTGCACCCTCAGTAAGTTTGCAGATGACACCCAGTCGGGTGGCAGTGTCGACCTGCTGGAGGGTAGAGAGGCTTTGCAGAGGGATCTGGACAGCCTGGATTGATGGGCCGAGGCCAACGGGATGAGATTCAAAAGGCCAAGTGCCAGGTTCCTGCACTTGGGTCACACCAACCCCCCAGGCAGCCCTACAGGCTGGGGGCAGAGTGGCTGGAGCTGCCGGGCAGAAAAGGACCTGGGGGTGTTGGTCGACTGTCGGCTGAACATGAGCCAGCAGTGTGCCCAGGTGGCCAAGAAGGCCAACAGCATCCTGGCCTGTATCAGGAACAGTGTGGTGACCAGGGCTCGAGAGGTGATCATCCCCCTGTACTGGGCACTGGTGAGGCCTCACCTCGAGTACTGTATCCTTTTTTGGGCCTCTTCCCACAAAAAAAAGACATTGAGGTCCTGGAGTGGGTGCAGAGAAGGGCAACGAAGCTGCTGAGGGGTCTGGAGAATAAGTCTTATGAGGAGAGGCTGAGAGACCCGGGGTTGTTCAGCTTAGAGAAAAAGATGCTGAGGGGAGACCTTACAGCTCTCTACAACTACCTGAAAGGAGGTTGTATAGAAGTAAGAGTTGGTCTCTTCTCCCAAGTCACAGGTGATAGGACATGAGGAAATGGCCTCAAGTTGTGCCAGGGGAGGTTCAGATTGGATATTAGGAAAAATTTTTACACTGAAAGTGTTATTAGGCATTGGAATGGGCTGCCCAGGGAAGTGGTTGAGCACCATCCCTGGAGGTATTCATAAGACACTCCTGCTCACACCTGCTAATATAAAAGCCTTGGGGCTCACTCAAAGTACAGGGGATGAGCAACATTAACAAGATTTGAGTAACAGTAACATTATAGTCACTGGGGTAAGGTGCCAAGAGAGACTCTAAAACTAATACCATCAGAGGGGTTCATGAAA